TTTCTTTTGTAATGTACTTCATCTTACAATTATCTCAGAGGGGTTTTACCTGCACTGTGTTTTATTCTCCTCCTAATGTCTCTGGCTTTTGCCATCAGTGCTGTACCTGCACTCAGCAAGAGGACTCATTTGGCAAATGCATCAATGCATGACATCATTCCTACAGTATCACTGGGCCTGTTTAAAGCATTGGCAGTATTTGATTGCACTTCCTGCAGTTGTAGGCAGCTGTGAAATTTCATTGATTGTGGTGAACAGGAAATTCTGAGGGAAAAAAACCTCAGTGCAAGGCTTGCAAAAGGCCGTGGCCTGATGAGTTCCTTGGCTAATGGTAATACATGGCAATAGTGCAGGACCTAGTGCAGAAGACTGCACTGCAAAGAGCGCTTTTCAAAGTAATTAGCTGTAAAATGAGGAAAAGCAACGTTCATTCCAAATTAATGGTGGTATAGAACCAACCACATTTATTTTTAAGAGACCATTAGAGAGCCTTGCTGGCTTTTCAGCAGTCATGTAGAAAGCTGTATGCTGGTGGGGTGGGAGGATTGGTCCCTAATGGAAATTGTGCATGGCATGCTGGGATGCACAATGCAGAAGGGACAAAAGGTTATTAAAAAAAATTCTTATCAGAAGTACTTTGACATTAGTCCTCAAGAAATTATTTTTATCCTTCAATAGGTGCATCTGCATGCTATTGTGCTAACACTGCTGCTTCTCTTATTAATTATACTCTTTTAAGCTTGCTTCACAAGAGTAATCTAGCAGCCTGTGAACTAATTAATGCAGTTCAAATGTAACATAGTAAAAATAAAACAGCTCAGCTGAAAAAGAAAGAAAAGGAGAGGGGATAAGCAAAACTCAACACTTTGGCAGTTTGATGCCAAAACAAACTTGCAAGGCTGTACAGTGTGGGGTAGGTACAAAAAAGATATCTTCTACGTTTCAGGCATTTAACAGTTATTGAGTGTTATGAAATGTAGCAGTACCTTGCTACTAAGAAATCCCGTTACTTGCTTTCCCAGCTTTAGCAAAAGGTTGCTAATCACTGGTCTTGCTATTGGCTTCAGTGGTCTGCATTAAAGTTAAGTGCATTTACAATTCTTTCCAACAACAGATTCTAACCCCAAGTGTTCTACAGCTTTTTGTCATTGAACAGTAAGTTTAGTGGAGAAATATGTCCTGGGTAATGTTATCAGCTTCTGCTAAAAGGTTTACAAAACAAGAGTTCACAGGAGACTGATACATTTCATGTTCTTCCTTTACAAGTGATGTTTGGAGAGTTCCATAATCAAAATATTGTGCCAAACACTTCCTAGAATGGTCAAACCAACCCGCAAAAGACCTTGAATCTTGCACAACCTCCTTTCAGTCGGTAAAATTTGTAGTGTATGAGGTGCTGATCAGATGGCAGTTTTTTTCCAATATGCAGGATGTTTTTATTTCATTATTTAATAGTTGTGGATATGGCAAAGTTTTATTACAGTATTTTTTTTTCTTTCCTTTTTTTTCTTTTTATTTTCTTTTTTCACATGGGTTGTTTCAGTGGGAAAATGGAAGGTACCAGAATCATGACTTCCATCTGACAGGAAATTCAGGCTTGGTTTTGAATTATAAGTGTTTTATAAATCTGTGTTTTGGATCCCATGTTAATTGTTTAGTATGCAGGGCAGTGATGAATCTCCTTTTCTGAGCCAGAAAACTTGAAATCAATCTTCTCTGCTTCTTTGTTGTTTCACTTGTCAATAATTAATTAAGTTTACTACTTGAAAGTAGTAAAGAACTGTCTTTCTTCAAGAGTAGTTTTTTTTGTGAAACACACAATAATGAGTAAATACCAAATACAGGTTTATGGTAAGTTATAGAAAATATGATGATATTTTGGAACCAAGCTGGATCCTTCAACCCCTGCCACTAGATCCGTGCTCTTCCCAATGACAGTACCTGATGTCCCAGTGCTGATGGCTTCCTTTAGCAGCTCCCCCTTCCAGGGAAGTGCAGCTGCTTTGGCAAGGCTGCCTTGGTGGGAAATGCACAGCACCTCCAAGGCAATGGTGGCAGGTTCCAGCACAGTATTAAACACTTCTGCTGAAGGGTCAGTGGTGTTGAACTGATAGATTGACACAATTACTTTAATGGGGAAATGTAGTGTCCAACTAAAACCCAGGTCTCTTCTCCTACTCCAAATCCATTGTCTTTAGGTTAGCAGTGTGTTATTCCTTGCTGTAGTCATACTGGCTTTGCTGAATAAGTGACTGGCTAAAAGCTGGTGGGTTAAAGAAATGAGAAATGTCATTTGTGCTGCACAGGAAATTATTATTATTTCTTAATTGCTGACCATTAACATTTGTTCAGCTTGCATCATTGTGGATTTTGTATTTGGAATGATATCCAAGTACAATAAGTAAACTTATAAAGATACTAAAACTGGTCTCCAGACTAATTCTTCAGAGGTGGTTTTATTTGCTTTGATTATTGACTAATGAGCAGCTACGTTTATGAGGAGGGGAGAAGTCCAAAGTAGGAAATACTACCTAATGCTTTCAATTAGCAATGTGCATTATGTGATATCAGCCATTTCCTAGCACTGAGATATCATTAATAACCTTGAATGCAAATTTGCTGACTAAAATATGAGCTGGGCTTTTTCGTCTAGAGGTATATTGGCATAGGAGAGCAATGAACAGACTGTGGTAGGAAAGGTTGCTCTTGGTGTAGTTAGTCAAACAGTTCTATGAAGATATTTTAGAATTGTTGGATTTTAGGATTGTTGGATTTGTTTGATCTACTTAAAATTTGGATTTCTTCCTTGAAGAAAATCCCTTAGAAGAACTGCTGTGGCTTTTGTTAGGTTTCAGTGAAGCATGTGGTGTACAGAGTGGGGACACTCATCCTTTGGGGTATTTTCTTCCCTTCTCATCCCATTTAATTTTGCTAATTTTTCAATCTCCATATTGTGATGACCTTCCTTGTTTTTTTTGGTAAAGTACGTCTGGGTGTGGATTTCTCTCATACTTGAAGCTGAAGGAGTAAAATATTCTCAGTACTTAACAAAGTAAATATACTGGTGAGAGAAATGAGGGGAGCAAATGCTGTTCCTGCTCGTCTGTCAGCGTGGCTTGGTCCTCTCAGTCTGACTTAAAACTTTAATTGGCTACTTCATGTTGGTGCATTTCTGTATATTCCTGGCAGAGGGAGTTCTTCAGGACTGGGAAATGTTGCTGGCATGGGTTTGGATTGCTTTGCTTGAGGGTGTGTTGTTTTTCCCTGGTGGCACAAATACAGTTCCCATCGAAGTGAATGGGTTGGTGCTGGTGTAAGCCAAAGATGAGAACCCTCCACCAAGTGAGCAAAGAGCTTTGACGTCCAACAGGATCACCAAGCAAAATTTTGCAGAAATTGTGAGCAGAGTCAGCCTGCAATTTAAGTCATGTAAACAGTCCACAAGAGTGAATTTACAGTTTAAAATACAGCAGATTATTTCACTTTCAAAAAAAAAAAAAAAATTAAGCTTGTGTCCTCATTTCCTTTGCATGATCTGCCTTTAGCTTGTTTTTTTGGGAGACCCTTAGTTCTGGTGGGGTTTAATTGTGAATCATGGGTGAGGTATTGTTTTTATTGTAATGTGCAGAAATGATCAACAGCTCAATGGAAAAGTATGTATGAAAGGAAATATGGCCAGTACTTCAGTGCCTAAAATGATTATTAAACCAGTTGGGGTTTCATTTGAAAAGTTAGTTATTAAGTAGGTAGTCTTCCTATGATGAAATAGCAATAGGAACACTGCCTTTACTCAGAATATTTCTATGGGGGATTTTGGGTGCATCTTTTAATTATGATTTGAATGTATTGTGTCTTTCCTTTTTCTTGGTTACACCCATCTTCCCACTATGATTTATTTTGCTGTTTGCTTTAGAAATGCAAGGATTCTTACACTGATGTCTCAAAATTCTGAGCAGTAATGTTTTTCCAGGCAGAGTTGCATATGCAGGTTTAATACTTTTAAGTGGAGATGTGAACTCCATTGAAAATCATTTGTGGGTGGATTTGCAGCTGGGCTTCATGAAGGAATTTAGGTCATCTGCCAGAAAACAAAGCTGGAATGGTGTCAGGAGTCTGCACAAGAGGGTTATAGGTCTGGAAGTGGGACCAGAAGTGTGGTCCCAATCATACAATGGGAAGTGTATCATGGGGGGAGGGTGGGAAGTCCGGAAGTTAAGTCAGTATCAAAAATCACTCAGACACAACTGTAAAACTAATGAGGTAGATATAATAAGGGTAAACTACTAACCAATAAATAACTCCTAAGAAATTTAAAGAGAAAATAGTTTATACTGGAAGGGTTGTTTATTGAGGTTTCCATCTATATTCATTGCAAATCCCAAATAAACAATTGCTTGGGAAACCACACTGATTTTCAGTATGTTTGTCCTTTGGAGGTAAGTTGAGGAAGTGCTGATTTAACTGTTGTTGTCCAAAGAGATTTTGAGGAGTAATACAGGACTTGATTCTCCTGTTCTTTAAGTTATTCAAGTAGAAAAATAATCCTTTGAGTAAGAAAAAGTGAAATTACCTGCTTTCTTTGCTACTTGGAAGTAACTTCAATATATCTGCGTAGAAATTCAAGCTAGAATTTGCATTAGTGTTTATTTTGGCTACTGGAATGTTTCCAAGGTGTCTTTAAAGAGTCTGGGTCCTGTTCTCTGCCCCATGGAAGAGTTTCTCAGGTGTGCTGCTGGCTCTGGGGAAATGTCCACAGGCAAGGAGAGCAGGAGGACAATGATGACATTACTGTGTGAACTGGAGGACAACCTTTCTCTATAAATACACATTATTTTTCCTGTTAAATGACTGATGCTGAGAGTGGTTTTTATATGAGCTATATTTAAGAGAGCATGTTATCCACTAAGGATGTCATTACGTGTTGCAAGAGTTTTAATATAAACTGTTTATATATATTGATCTTGTTGTATTTTAAGCTGTTTCTTCCTTATCTTCAACAGGCAGCCAGATAAACTAGTGGTGGTTTGGACAAGAAGAAGCAGAAGAAAATCCTCTAAGGTCAGTTGATTTCTTATTAAGTCACAACTTTAGTGACAAACAGGGTCAGTGGTTTGAGGGAGCATCCAAATAAATAAATAAATGAGAAGTATTTTAGTTGTTGAATTTTCTTTTTAACTCAATTTGTACATAAAGTTCAGAATAAACTGCTGTTGATGTCAGTGCTAATTTATGGGAACTCTTAACTCTGATTCTAGCTTTGGTTATTTGTTTAGCAGAACTGTATTACTATCAATTCAATTCAGTTATTAATTGCTAGACCTAATTAGAAAGGAGAATTGGTTTCTTTACAACAAGTGTAATAAAAAAAAACTAATTAAAAAAAAGTAATAAAGAATCTGACATCCCTGCAATAGGCAGATAAAGCCTGAATAAGAGGCTATTTCACCTGAAATGCTACAAATAAAAAAGAATAAAAACAGGGTCTTTCAGCCCAGCAGTGTCTTTGAAGTGAATATTCACATTGTATTTCTACAAACAGTGTGGACAAACCCGTGAATTTGTGTTTCATGACTAATAACTTGGTAGTCTGAAGAATATGAAGTTCTGAATGAAGTCTCTCCAGTTTCTGATAAAGTTTGTCTTTCATGGGGATGGGAGTGCATGCTGTTTTCCCCCCTTCCCTGGAGAATCTCCTCTTCTCTTTGAGATGACTTGCTCTTACTTGCTCATGTGGCCTCTTAGCCTGGTTGGATTTATGGCAAATGATCTTGTCAGAGAGGAAATTTTGGAAGTTATAATAATTGTTTGACTCTTCAGTTAAAAAAAAAAAAAAAGATGGTCTAAGCTTCTTTTTTTGTGTGTATTTGTGTAATACAAAATGATATTTCAATGAACTCTATAGTAATAGAGAGAAGGCATCCACAATATAGACGATACCTCGAAATAATTGTGTTGAAGAACTTAAATATTTAGAAAATGTGATACACAGTTTTCTATCCTTCTCAGGAGAGACTTAGGGTTTATTTTTTACTGGTACTCCTCTTTTTCTGGCCTGTTTTTCTGATTGCTATGCATATTTGTTGTATTTTGTCTTTTTACTTGAGGTATAAGCTATTCCAAGCTGATTTAGATGAAGGCTGGTTCCTGACTGCACAACTAAATGTTGTGCATCCAAAATTCTGCTTCAGGTTTTAAAAACCCAAAGGTATTACCTGATGAGTAAACAAGGGTGTGAGCTCAGTCTGGTACCTGTTCCTGTTCCATGTTCCATACTCATCAGCAAAGCCAGTCAGACTATTCCTGTTTCACTGAAGCATCAACTGTCTCAAGTTCCTTTGAATTTATAGCACGGTGTGTATCTAGGCAGGAAGTGCTGATGTCAGTAACTGATGTCTGATGGGGCTCACTCTATGATAACCTCTCTGTATTAGTTTCATTTAATTTCAATTCTTTTGCACACAGAGATAAAAGTTATGTCAAACAGTAAGTGCAGTGCTTACACAAGCTTTGTAACCCTGAAAAGCTTGGTGATAAACAAGGTATTTGTTCATAAATGACTGTTTTGTTGGGATTCAGAAACAGAACCTGTAACAGAAGTCCAGCATGGCTTTGTGAAATGATGGGTTTCTGCCTGTCATTTTATAGGATCCAAATGACAGCATTTCCCTGAGGCTACAGGGTTTTCTGGCATTAGCTCAGCCTTCTGGGCTTGAAGTTTTTTCAGCTGGGCCATAAAGTTCCATGATATGATCTCACTTTTGGTCACCAGGCAGTCGAAGCAACTCTTGGGTAAACTGGCAGATTTAAACCTGAGACTCAGAAAAGTCTCTGGCTGACTAAGTCGTGTTTAGTAAGATCCCACAAAGGTACTTTGAAAGTTGAGTGGCCCTGAAACCTGGGCAGTGTATAGAGTTAATTTTAAAGCTTAGGTAGTTGATGTGACTTGAGTAGTTTGGATCAAAAATTGTAGATCAATAAGTGTTCTTGATCTCTTAGTCATCCTGCCAGTAAAATAACGTTATTCAACATACTTGTTTCATCTAATTGCTTTATTGGAAACAAGTCAAATGAATATTTCCTCTCTTTCTATTTTTGGTGGACAGTGGGTTCAGTGAGTACAAAGCATTAATAATTGTCTATATTTTTCAGCTTCTTGGGTGGGAGGAAGGGAGGGATGAGGTTTTAGCTTACTGTAAAGATATGAAGACATTTTTGGTGTTTATGTTTTATGAACTTTTAGGTCATTAGGGTTAATGAGGGATATTGCCAGCAGATAGTTCACAAACTCACAAACATGGTCCTTTGGATGCTCTTCAGCAGTTCTGTGTCTCTTTTCTATTGGGAAAGTACAAGAGATGTATTGAGCAAAAATGTGCAGCTGGAAGATGGAGCTATGGATGTCCACTGGGATGCCTGCTCTAACTGGTGTGATTTAAAATGCTGTTGAGCATTTTAAATTTTGAGTTCTTGATGTCCTTTGAAACCCTTGTTTTTGTGGGTTTCCATGATTTTGATATGCCTCCTGCCCCACATTCTCTTTTTCCAAATAAACTACAGTGATCCCTTTATTAAAAGAAATAGAGGCATCATGTGCAGGAGTCTGAATATTTTTCTTCTTACAGTGGGAAACATGGAATAGGAGCTGTAGATATGTTTAATTACAGTAAGTTTCAAAGTGTTGCAAATGAAAAGCAAATACTCATTTTGAAAGAGCATATAGATAGCAGTCTGTTGGGTGGATGGATACAAGACCATAAATATATCCAGCAGTTACTGACCTTAATGCAGATTTAAGTTACTTACAGTTCTATTTTGGGACCTGCTCTCCATGGGCAAGTCTAATTTCAATGTATTTCATGAGGTGTGTCAAGACGAGGTGGCTCTGTGTGATTTGGCATCTCCATTGTGTGTGCCAGGAATTTACATAAGATGGTGATTTGCACTTTTGCTGTGCTTGGCAGAATTACTGTGCAGTCCTAGAACCAAAATGAACTTTCAGCTTGGGGAGGGTGGGAGTTCCCTATCTGCTGGTGCAAATGTTGTCTGTTTGCAAAATCAGGTACGCTCTTAAAGCTTTATTTAGATGCTGCTCAGCATCCATGGTTTACAGAAGGTGCAGCCATAGACTTGTTTAATTCTTCTTCAGCACCCTGGCACACTAGGAAGTTGTCTGCCCAGGTATTTTTTTTTTTTTTTTTTTTTTTTTGAGTGGTGGAAGTATGTCTTTGTTCTACTGTAGAGCAAGGGAAAAGTGTGTTGAAAATATGTTTACCTTTATTTCACTGAGATGCTCTCAAATTTCCAGGCTTTGAACTAAGAAATTTCAGTTTGAAAATAGATGTTGCCATGATGTCGAGGAGGTACTTTCTACTATTCCTGTGAACATGCAGAGGCTTATGGTTGAATTACACACCTCAGAAGAATCAAATTTGCACTTGCTTCTGAGAGCCTGACAGAATTATTCTTCAAAGATTCTTTTTGTATAAAAGCTGAAAGAAGGTGCCTTGCCTTGATTTCAGTACTTCTCTTGCAGGTTTATCAAAAATGGTTTAAGCACAAAGGAGAAGGAACAATGCTGAGAAGAGGGAAAGAACTTGAGCAGTGAGAAGTAAGAGCCAAGAGAGGCAAAGGGGCAGGGAGTAAAAGGAATCCCTTGTACACAACAGCAGTGTGGCCAGCATTTTTCCAAGGTTCTGCCATCAATAAAGCAGCAGCTGGGTCACCTGTTTTGCTGTCCTTGGCAATCTGTTGCCTTTTCTGGCTACTTTATTGCCCAGTGCCAGCCCTGCCTGGCCCTGGCAGGCTGGAGTTGCAAAGGTGCGTTTTGATCCTGACATGCTGGAGACTGCCACAGTTCAGTAGTGCCACTCATGGGGCTTCTCAGTTTTTTAGTAAAGTTACAAGATCATGCTGTGATTGTAATCCCTGACTGTAAACTGGAGGTCATTAGTACTCTTCTTTTTTCTTGGAGTCACATAAAGTTGACTTGTGGTGACATTCTGAGGTGCAGTGATGGCTGTCCCAGAAAATGATGAGAAAAATAACTCTGTTCAGGTTTTTTTGTTTGTCTGGGCTTTGATTTTTTTAATTTGGTTGGTTGTTTTTCTTTTCTAGTAAGAAATCATATAGATGATGTGAGAAACTGATTGAAGAAATGGGGCAGAGGCTCTTTATCTGAGCATCATCTACTGTAGATGGTGAATAAGGCAAGATTTGGTGAACAAAATAGCATGAACCATGTATTTACTGCATGATGTATTCATCATGTATGTCATGAATGTGTGTGTGTGAAATCAAGCTTGAAGAGGTAGCCCTGTCCTAGAGAACCAGTGGTGGAGATGAGTTTTTGCTCATTCCCCAAGCTTAGCAGTCTTTCTGTAGCTTTTTAGCAGTAGTACACATATGCACAATGACAGTTGTAACACACGTGCGTGCCGATGAATTGAAGACATTCATAGGAAGACCTGTGGGAATCCACTGGTTTCCTTGTCTGCTCTAAAGGAGCACTGACAGCAATGTGTTGATCAAAGGCTGCCTGGAGTTTCCAGGGCTTTGAGCTTCCTTCTTTGGCACGTGCTGGGTTTTTTGGACTGCATCCCAGGGTATGAGTGTGACTGGAGCGTTGTTCTGGTGCCCAGCCTTTTTAACTGGTGGGCCAAGCACAGGGATTTCAAGATGATCGTGGGGGGGATGCAAGCTGTAGGCTGGAGTATGGTCTTTAATTTGTCTCCCTTTGTGACACTGAACTGCAGTTCAGAAGAACAAGAAGAAGCCTTTCACAAACTGCTGGTTTCCTCTGGTCTGAGGGAATTGGCAGCTTTTCCCAGCCCATTCTTTTTCCAGTAGGTCTGTTAAAAGCCATATACAACTCTGGCTGTCTTGGATGGTGAATGACTTTGGTGAGATGCATCACGTGGAGCAAATCCTTGGTGTTCCAATATTCCAAAGCCATACTGCTGGCATGGAGGCACCAGATGAAGCTGCTTAATGTCAGCTCTTCCTCTTGAGGTTTTTTTGGTTTTTTTCCTGTCTAAGTGTTCTGCCTGGATAACACTGAAGAAGAGAGATTATCCTTACAAGCTGAGCTGCCCTAAGCACTGCTGGAGCCAGCTGAGCTCCTCCTGGCTTCTTGTGCCCTGAACAGCCTGTCACACTGACAAGTAGCAGAGCTGGCCTGATCACAGGCAGCTGGCAAAATTTTATAAGAAAATCAGCAGTTTGCTGGCTCACAATAAAGCCACTCTTGTGGCTGCAGGTGAGGAATAATCCTAGGTCTGTTTCATATGAGTTTTGCTTTTAAAACCCAATACTGACAGCTTGGCAATAAGAACATAATTTTTATGCACAAATATAAGCTGTTCCATAATTTGCAGGAGGGTCAAAATATTATGGTCTGCTCTAGTATCTTACTGAAAACTAGCCTGAGATTATCCTGCACAACAGGACGAGGCAAGGTGGTAGTGAAGAAAGCAGAAAAGAGATGAAGCATCTGAAAGTGCAGGCTCCTGAAATAATGTAGCATCAAGTCTGTCATTCCAGTTCAAGCACAGCAAAACAGCAGAGATGTTCTCATCACAGGTGGTGGATTGCAAAGCTGGCTGCCTGGATTTGAACTGTTGTTTTAAAGAGAAAAATGAATCTTAGAACTGGATAGCCTGAAGTGCCCATGCAAGTCTGTAGGCCCATCTCCACTGCCTTATCTTTAAGAGATTTTCTCCTCTCCCAGTCATCAGTTTTGTGCCAGAGCACTGGCGTAGGTTGGACAATGTCATTCACAGCCCTACTCTATTTATAGGGTATTTCAGCAGCCCCTCCTGTAGCTCCTGTTTCCAGATTTAAAAGCTTTCATGCTATGTTGTCTTCTCTCATTTTCTACTGACAGAAAAAGGAAAGAGTTGCCTTTTGCTTTGAAATGCAGCAGAGCACTTCTCTTTCCAGACCATGGTTCTCATCCCTCAGATCTGGAGATAAGTCAGGCAGGGCTGTGAGTGAGGCACCTGCCTAAGCAGAAAAGTCTGCCTAAGCAGAAGTTACTTCTACTTAGCTGCCCTTGCCTTGACTTCCAAGACAATGGGAGATGGCTGGTGAAGACCAGTAGCAAATGAGGAAAAAGTGGGTCTAAAGGCACAAGCATCCAATGGAAAATGGAATTAGAGGAGGGGATTAGGGTGGAAATGTACCGTGCAGATGCAGCATCTCGCCTCAGCTGAGCCCTGACAGCCAGTCCTTGTCACCTGCAGCGGTGGCCTGATCCAGCTCCAAGTCAAGGTTTATAATTCGGGAGTTGAAAGGGTTTTTTGATATAGGCCAGTTGTAACTTGAAGAAACTGCAACACCGAGGTGCCTGGCATGAGAAATGTTGCATTAGAATAACATTCTGCATCTTAATTTTGAATTACTGTCATTTGCTGGTCCTCTGTGTTTCTCAGGCTTTGCTTTCCCCTTTCCCTTTCTCCTTCCCAACAACCCAGACAGTCCTTTTGATGTTACCTTTTTCTGTCATGCTGTTTGTGTGATACAATGTTTATTTTTCAAAGCCTGAGGAGGACTTTGTAACATTCATGATCACAGAACAGCTTTGCTTTAAAAGCTCATTAGTTAGAGCTTGTCTCCTGGTTGTTGCTTTCAGTGACAGAAAAACATATATATCCCTGTGTGTTTATTGTGTCTCACTGATTTTCCTGGTGGGAGGAAATGCTGATAAAGGGCTTGAAGTGAAGTGTTGACTGCACCAGTGAATGCTCATTTTCTAGGTTTTTTTAATAGATGGAACAAGTAATCCTCAGCTGAGCAGGCTGGCAGTGCCTGGACCTCGGACAGGAAAAGTTTGACATAATTGTCAGTATTGACCAAACCCATCAGGAAAACACAGGTTTCAGACACACCATGAACTCCAATTATTTTTGTACAAACTGGTTGGTACCTGGAAAGAGGATGGAGTTGCCCCTTTGGAGGATAGAAGTTAGTGATTTTACAAGATGCTTCCAGAGGATATGGCAGTGATCTTGTGCCTGGCTCTGGATCACTGCCTTGTGTCTGCTGAAGATCTCTGTGGGCAAGCTGGGAGTGATGCAGGGAGCTGCAGGTTCTGTGGGACAGACACACAAACTGCAGCTCCAGAGTCTGTGGTAGTAGTGACATCTACTGTGGTGTGTTTTGCTGCTCACAAAATGCCTTTTTCTTGTAAAATATATAAGTTTTGTTTGTGTTATTTGGTGTTGTTTGCTCAGTTGTTCAGAAAATACATCCAGGCCCTCTTTAGAATAATGAGATTAGACTGAAATTCATGCAGTAAAACCAGTAGAAATTGGGTTCTTTCAAGTTGCTCTTATTTTAAAATCTCCTTTTCTTTAGATGCTCCAAGTTTCTATTCTGCAAGCACAAAGCATAGACACTCACTGAAAAATCTGATCTAATAAGGCCTCTTTGGGAGCTGCAGTTTCAAGCAGAACACCAAAGATAAAAAAAATGTGATAAAACCAAAGGAGAGCTGGCAACGTTTGGCACTCCCTGCTGTACATGGTGGCAGAGAGCTGCTGCCTCCAAAGGGATGGGGCTGCTTCTCCAGCTTTGTCTTTCCCACCTTGGTACAGCAAAGTCATCCTTCAAGTTGCTCAGGTTACCTCAACATCCCTAAGAACCTGAGTCACAGGTCTTGCTAACCTTATTAAAGCAGAAATATGTTCTAATATTCTAATATTCAATTTGAATCTGAAGTTCTGAGTGTTGGAAGGAGTATAAAATTGCAATGACTGATGCTCTAGAATTATAAAAAGAAGAAAGCCAAGTTAATTGGCTTCAGGTAACAGTAAATAGATTGCACAGTCTTTCCTGATAAGACATCCACACATTTCTAATAACACCCTGGCTAAGTAGCTGTCACTTCTGCAGCAGCATCCTTCCCTCATTTGTCTTACAGCATCACAAAAGAGATTAGGTTAAGCTTGGAAAAAGGCATACATATTCCAAACCAGAGCAGAAATGCTCACACTAATCCAAACTGATGCTCAAAGGTAGACAGGTCCTCAGTCTATTTAACTGTTGGGTTTTTGTTATCTTTTCTAGGTGTAGGTACCCCAGCATATTAATTCTTAAAAACTTAAATGTTTTAGTAGCATTATAAATCAAAGTTTTCACTTTTCTTTCTGCACATGAAACTTCTTGCTCCATTTATGTGTAAATGTGATTAGACCTGCACTGTGTTGTACACAAAACAATACTCAGCTTGCTACAGAAGTTCTGACCTTACAGCCTTAATTTTTGTAAGGTTCTGAGTGTCCTGACCTGTGCTATGTAATAAAAAAGCTGAGTTTAGGATCTTGTGAGAATCTTTAGTTCAGTGGAAAGCTCTGAGTTTCCTTACTGTCATTTTTAATTGTGTCCTTTGAAGTGTTCAGTAGTGTCATGGGTTTAAGAGCGTGACTTTTTTTGAGTCAGTGATATGTTACTTTTACCTGCATGCCCTGGGTCCTGTGGGAGTCAAGTCAGCACTTTTATAATGGCTTTAAACAACTGGGTATTTTTCTTCCTTTAGGCACACAGCTGGCAGCCTGGAATCAAGAACCCATACCGTGGGGTGGTGGTATGGCCTGTACCTGAAAATGTTGAAATTACTGTGACTCTCTTCAAGGTATGTTTTTTTGAAAGCATAATCCTTACTATTTCCTAAAAAATACATGAAAAATTCGGTCTGGAAATTTTTAGATTACAGTCACAAGGTCTAATCTTGCTGGTTTTATGTCATTAACCACACAACCTTACGTCCTCCGTTCAAATCTGGGTGAGAGGGATGGTCTGTTCCCTGCCAAAGCTGACTTCTGTAGTTTAGTTGACACAGTGAAATACCCATTGAGCTGATTATGGCGAGGCATTGGCACAGAGTCCAGCACATGTGTAACTGTGCACGTAGAGTACATGTGTAAGGACTTGGCATGGGTTACAGCCTGGTAAATTTTCTTTAAATACTGGAAGGCAGAAGTTGTCATAACACAGTCATTTCTAGACTTCCTTGTTCAGTTTCAGTGCACACTATTGGCTGCAACAGAATCCAGCTCCTCATTTCCCATTATTTAGAATGCTACACAACCATCACAGCACTGATGTGATTGCAGCTGTAAGAGTGGGTGTGCAGTATTTGAGCAGCACAGAGAATTATAAGATTTACAGGGAAATTATTTATTTTTTTTAACTTTTTTTGCATTTGTTCTACTAAAAAAAAAAGCTTATTTGTGTGGCTGTGAAGCAGGAGGAGGAAGTTATGCTTGAACTTATTTCTCAGATATCACTGGGCAAGGCCCTTTCTGCATAAAGATAAACAATGTAGCTTTGCATGCATGACAGTGTAGGAGGCTGAAGATTTTGGAGATTTTCATTCCATAGTTTTTCCTCGTTCTTTACTCTGGTGCCTTCATCTACATTCTGGCTGTTCTTATTCCTAGCTGCTCCCTTTGCAGCTTAGGGCAACAGTAACATACTTCTTTCTAATTAGCAATATTTGTATTTTTTTGTCTTGGGGAATTTCCTGAGCTTGGATGTGGCTTCTGATTAGCCTTAGAATGGGAATTAATTACTTGGTTCATTAAAATGAAAAAAAGGGGTTGCCTTATTTTCCCCCCATTTTTTTTGAATTCCTGCCTTTGGGATGAACACAAACTTCTCAGGTTGGCAGTGATCATAAACTATCATAAACTTGTCTCTCTTCTTAGCAAGCACGTAATCTTCAAATGAGATTCAAAAGTTCACTACCAAAAATTGGTAGGATCTCTGCTTGGGCTAAGAAACTTGTCAGCTTTATGTGGCAGTGCTACATGTCTGTACGATCTGAATGTGGTTATGCAACACTGTAAATGTTTCTTGATATTTTCAACATTTAAAGTGAAGCAGAAATGTACATAAATCTTGATGGTGATTATGATGTTACCTGAAGGATGAGAAATAAAGTGTTTTTTGGGTCCAGCTCTGTGATACTGCGGCTTTGGAATGAAGGTGTCTTCCAGCCTTCTCTTGCCATTCCATTTTTTATTTACAATTTACATTTGTACTGATTCAGGGTTCTGTTATGTAGAACAGCTCAGCAGCCTTGTTAGTTGTGTAACTGAGACTGAGGGTAGTAGTGAGGGATGGAAGGACCTCTGGAGCCAGTGTCAGGTATTAAAAAAGCTTAATTTTACCCTGCAGGCAGATCTGTTCACTAGACTTCTTCCTCTACCCTAAAAATGAGCCTGCCTGTCACAAGAATTGGTCTGGGAAGAGGAGTGTGAATAACCCCAGCAGCTGTGCCTACTGTAAATGGTACTCACTGGTCTCTGGGGGAATGAGCACTGGATTTATAATCAAAATGTTGAGAACCATCACACTATCAGGCAGCTCTTACTATAAAATCTGCTCTAATTGATCCTCCAGCTCTAACAAGAGTGTCTGTAAGTGACCAGGTACCCTTTGTTCTCTGTGAGGGAATGCATGGGTGGCACAGAGCAGTTTATTGAGCAGGCTGTGTGATGGCCCAGGGCTGCTGTACCTGTGTCAGAGCAGCAGCCTGCCTGCCTGAGCTGTGAGGGGCAGGGGATTGCAGGCAGAAGATGGTGTTGGCCCAGTTCAGGCTGTGCCCAGTCCCCTGATGGCTTTGTTGGCTCTGTGGTGCTTCAGCTGCAGCACAGGACGTGTCCCAGCACCCACTGAGCTGGCATTTCTGTAGTTGTAGGTTCTGGGCAAAGGCAGTCAAAAAGAACTGGCTGTTTGTCACACAGCTGGTGCATTGTGTGGGCAGCGCTGGAGCAGTGGGAAGTGTGTGATGGCACTCTGCAGCCGCCTTTCTAGAGCTGACTTGGAAGTTGGGTATTTATATTGTTCCTTCCTCTAGAAGAAAGGGGACAAAAAGACTGAAAACAGTAAAGCTCAGAAAAAGAGGCTGCTCATCTTGCAGTTCTGTAAAATTCCTTTATGGAGCCAACCCCCTGCGTAGGAGGGTGATTATTGAAGGGTTGGCACTTTGCAATACGTGCACTCGGCCTGGCCTTGTTTAACAACCAGGAGCTGTTCGCTTTCACCACCACCTGAGAAGCTCAGGGAGCTGCTGCCTCCTTGTCCACCCTGGCAGAGCCCAGAGCTGGGAGCTGGCTGCTCCCACAGAGCTGTGTAGCAATCACAGATAACAAATGAGTGCTGTTGGGAATGGAAGGAGGGGGCTCCAGACAGACAGCTATGTGTTGTGGGAAATGATTCACACGCTAGTGGCAGTGCATTCGTAAGTGGCTGTTGAAATGTGTTGCTGGTAGGATTAGGAGATAAGTCAAGGTTTCAAGTGCTGATGAGAATGTTAAGAGTCTCCTCTCCAGCAGTCAGCTGTGGACACTTGAGAGCTGGCTAAGCAAAATCCCTGTGATCAGTCAACAGATGAGATATTCTGCATTATCTGCACAGCCCTACTTTGGGTGTTACCTTGTTTACGACAACATATTTGTAATTCTTGCACAAGCAAAGTACTGAAGAGATTACAACCTTCATTTAGAAAACTTTAACTTCAAGTAATTTTATGCTTTTGTTTGTTTGTTTCAATTAATTCTGGGCTGCTGGTAAAATTTCACAGTGCCCTGGAGTCATGTGGGGAAAAGCATCATATGGATATATTGATCCAGCTTCCCTTGACTAGCTGTAGCTCCTGCCCATCCAGCCACTGAAGTTGTAATTACATAAAAAATTCAATGTGTTCTGAAAGTTTAACTTCCTTTGCTGAGCTCCACACTGATGTTTAGTTATGCCTTGGGTTTTTCAACCAAACTGGGGAGAAAGAAACATCCTGAAACAATAAGCCTATTGTGCATTTAAAATCCATAATTTGTGGTGCTTTCATGGAAAGATTCACAAGTGCCAGAAAAGCCAGAGCTGAATTTTCACCTTTTTTTTTTTTTCTTTTTCTTTTTTTTTACCATGGTTGTGCTCCAGAAGTTAATATTTTAGAGTCGTTACATTAGGGAAGTTTAACTACTATGTGTGAAAACTTGCATACTTTTTTGTGGGTTTATTTACAAACAGAGATCTTTATCAGCTGAGAGAGATTTTAAACCAGAAATTTTCAGTGCTTTTAGTAAAGCTAAATGAACATCAATTGTACTATGAGGATTTAAATTGCAGTGTCATTGTTTTCTAGCTCAAAAGCAAAGTGACTTCCTGAGCAAAAATGTTTGTTCTTCAGGAGTAAGCGTGGACTTTGCTTCATTGGGTTACGCAAAACACTTGTTTTGTCAGTAATGTACGTGGTTTATCACACCCATGTCCATTGCAGCGGCAGGGACCATTACCAACTCTTAATTCCAAGGTTTGAAAAAGACATTTTTAAAGGCATAGCTTTCTAAGCACACACACAAAAAATTTATTAGTAAAATAAGAATTAAATAGATGTTCAAGGCATACTTGTGTAGTTGAAAGTATTCCTGTCCCCACATATTACTCAGAAAAAATCCCTGTCATTCTTCTTGAAAGCCCAAGTCTATCATGCTTTGATTTTATAGAATAATAATTGTCCATGCAGGAACACTTCACCGAAGGCAATGTGTTTCTCGGGGGAGGAAAAAAAAGAACCCAAATCAGCCCCAAACCTCTTCATAATGCAATTTCTCGTAAGTAAGGACCAAGTTCAGGTTCAGAATATACTTATTTCAGTTTAGGAGGGACCAGGGTCTTGAGCAGATACTATGGAGAATACTTCATAGGAGCGAAAACCAGTTCCATAGGCAAGGTGTTGTGTGTCAGACATAAAAATCATAAGCTTGGGGGAATAAGCACATTTGCATATAAAAAAGTTAAATTGTTAAAGATGTAAAGGATTAGTGGGGGACTAATTTAAAAAAAAAAAAAAAAAAAAAAGACATTCAATGCTTGTTGCCTTTCTCAGAGGCTTTACAGGAAAGTGTGAGCTTGGTGTGGTGATGCACAGGGATGTTTCTGCTGGTCTCCTCAAAGCTCCTTGCTTCCTGGCAGCTCCAATTAAAGCTGATCACAGTTGTATGTGATTTTCTAGACTAATCAGACCTCTGTAATCGGCACTGAAAGCAATAAGAATTGGGTCAAATTCTGAGTCTTGTGCAGTTTCAAGCAGGCAAGTACAAAAGCTGAGGACAGATGCTGGAGTACCCGGAGCATCTGCTGCAGGTCACTGGGAAAGGGAGATCACACACCCTGTCAGCGTTTGATGTGATTCACTGTGACAGTCCTTAAGTAGTTATTCCCCAAGAAGAAAGACTGAAGATTAAGGCTGGTATGAAGTGATCTAATTGAAAGACAAGCTTCAAAAACCAGGAACGCTTAGGGAGGAGGCATGGGGAAGGAAAGGAGGAAGGGACTAACAGTCTGAAGGTCTTCCCTACCCACTCGCCTGCTGATTAGGAAATGCAGCAGTCCCCTGATACGTCCTCTGTTCCTATTACAATAAATGCAAAAATAAATCTGAATATAACCTGAATTATTGGAGAAATTTTACCTTTGTTCAGTCATCTGAAATCACTTTGTACTCTGCAGAAAAGATCTAGTCCTTGGCAGAATGGATTCATGATGGGCTGATCAACAGAGAACAGAAAAATGTGTCTGACATGTCCTTTCTCTTCCTAATCCCAGAAGAGTTGACTTTTTGGGTAGTTGGCATGTAGATGGGTAGAATGGTGTCACAGAAAGAAGCTAAGGGGTGGGATTGCAAAGAAAAGCTGATGTCCTGTTTCTTGCACAGTTCCCTGCTATTTGCTTCTTACCCGAGTGTTACTTTTGGCACGCTAAGGTCATCTTGTGAGACAAGATAGAGAGGAAAAAAGGGTAGAGAAAAAAAGGCTCTAAAACTTAGTTGAAGATGCTGAAAGGGAACATCAAAGTGAGACAGGAAAATGGGACCCATGTCTTGGTATTAAAAATAATGTTGGTTTTTTTTTTTCACATAGTAAAATGAGGAGTAGTAACAGGCTGTTCAGTCCATTTGCCCTAATGCTTACAGTTTTCAGTTCTTGGTGAAACCATAGTGAGTGCTGGGTAGAGTGTAATTCTGCATCTGTGGTATGCTGGTGAAGCAAATACACATTATATATAAAAAAAAAAAAAATCTTTTGCCAACTCCCATCATTTTACAGTGAGATGTGAGGCAATTTGTTCCTTAATCTTTTGAAGTAATTTTCATTATCATTTGCTTTTAGGAAATAGGAATGAGGTCTGTTTATAACTCTTGACTTTAGGTATTCCCAGCTTGTATCTGCTTGCAGGTGAGGTGAGGTTTTGTGTGCCCTGTTACCAGAGAGTGCTTTCATATAGTACAGGAGCTTTCCAAAGGCTGCTATAACCATTACTCCTGGAGTTATTCTTCTTTGGAATAGCATTTTTTTTTCCTAAAGCATAGTCACCTGTATAGTCCTCAAATAATAGTCTGCTAAATACATCACATGAGTTTTATGTGGGGAATGAATGGAGAATATGGATTAGCCAGTGAGGGAAGTATGTGGTGGTGTGGATTTTTTTACTGGTATTTGCTCTCTTCAAATCCAAAATAAGATGAAACATTAGCCAGATTTATAGAAATGTCACCTGTTACAGAGACCACATGAGGAAATGTCATGCCCCAAATGTAACATGTTGTTTGCTGTAGAAACTGTTATAACTATAATCATACAAGAAACTGTGTTATAACTATAATCATACATGTATCTGTTTACATGACCACACAATAAAGTCCTGAGTTAATCAGAAATAGGACTCTATGCTGTTCCTTGGGCTTCTCATAAAAGCATTTTAGTGGAAGAGTGAGGCCACTTATAATGTCTATTGCAAGGAAATGCTGATGCTTATATATATAAAATTATTCAGGCTTCTCTCTTTCTGGAGACATGTAAAAACTATTAAGAAACGTTTTTTTTTTAAAAAAAAAAAATCTGTATTTGCCTTTAAATCTCAGATATCCTACACATATGCAAAGTGTTCATGTATCAGCATATTTAATACTCTCTGAACATGTGGCAAGACTGTTCATTAGAGAAGTCCTTGAAGCTTTTAAGAGCTGTTTTGGGGCAATACATTGCATTTATCTTCCTAAAGTGTTCACAACTTGCTTTCAAGTGTGTGCTAAAATGTTGAACATTAAGGAGTCTTTGCATTATACAGTGTTATTTTGCTCTGTCAGATGATCAGAAATACTCAGCAGAGCACCTGGTTCTGTAGCCCTCAGAGGTGTGAGTTTTATTGCCACTGACCGAGAGCTTGGTTTGACTTTGTAGATTATTGCCTTGCAGAAATAAAACAGGGAGTGTTTTGTTTGTTACATGGGATAAAATATTTGACATATTATAATATAAAATATTTGGATTAATATAATATAATGGAATATAATATAAAATATTGGAAGCAGTTTTAGGTCAGCCTGTGAGCTTGTCCTAATAGCTTTTGGGGGAGTTTGGGGAAAGAAATTTAGTAGGATGAAATATTTAAGAGTTGAGTCACTTACTATGGAGTAACTTATTAAAACAAAAAGTGGTTAATGATCCCATTAAATCTCATTATGTCATTTCATGCTGTATCAAAGGAAGCAATTAAACAGAAAGGTAATTGCCCCAGGTTAACTCCTAAAAAATGTAAGTATTTAATAGCTGGATTACAGAAAGTTACATCTTTAGAGTTTATATAGTATACACCAAACCCATAGGTATGATGTACTTTATTTACATAATGCAGAATTCCACAAACCTGATTAATGTGATGGAGTGATAATTACATAATCTGATATTTACAAGACATGAATTGGACCATGGAGATACATACAAAATTACACTGAGGTATCTACTTGCCCTTCTGTCCTTATGGTTACTGATACAGCATGTTTTGACACTCATTTGCACTATTAAAAGATTTATTCATCTATAAAAACAAATCATCGGTTTTGACATAAGTTTTTAGCAACATCTTATATTCTTTCACTGGAAGTGTTTTACAGGGAGGCTGCATGGAACCCACTTGGCTGGGTTTTGGAGGAAGGATGCACAAGAGGAGATGGGGTAATATCCTCCTACAAGTGTTACTGTAGTTCATCCAAAGAGGAGGTTCATTTAAGAGCACACTTCCCAAGTATTTTGTGTGCTGGAAAAATTAAAGAAAAAATATTTTTTTTCCTCTGGTTGTTGGTGGTATAAGCTCGTTACTTACAAAATATTTTATGTATTCAGAGAAAACTAGTTAGAAAGTGGCACAGTACTTCTCCCCACTGTTTGACTTCAAAGCAAAACTGAAGTGAAACAAGGGTTAAAGCAAAGACTAAGATAAAGTGTGTCAAGAAGATTCTGGAAAGAAAAGGAAGATGGTACTAAGGGATATAATATAGTAGAGAAAAAATCTTGATGCATTTTGTTAATTTAAAGCAGCAAGATGGAACTGCTGTGCTTGCTGTAGTGTCAGGACCAGTTGCCAAATAGAAGCAAGAAAACTGAGATGCTGAGGGGGTCTGATATATGACATTGGTAAATGCTGATGATATGGAAATGACATTTACTTCCAAAGACCTATGGCATGCAAACATCAGAGGAGAATTGAGTGTTTTCCTGAAACTAGAAATAATAGGATAGAATTGAGGTATAGCAAAAGCAGGTTTCATGTCAAAAGAAAGACTTGAGACACATTTTCTTAGTGTGAGAATCTATTTTGCACGAGGAGTAGAAATTTTGCTGCAGTTGTTCAGAACTCAGACTGGATGATCAATAATTTTTTTTAAAAAAAGTATTTTGTTTAAAGTAAGATCCTTGGTAGAGGATTGAGAGGAACAACTTAGTGTCTTCTCCACTGTTATTTTACTTTCAGACAACAACAATACAGACCACTCCAGCAGACTGAAAGCTCATTAAATTAAAAAAAAAAAAGCGCCAAATATATGAACTTCATTGTTATTTTTCTTCCTGTTAGTGAAAATGTTTTCTGATCCTCACATGTGATATGATAGAAATGTTGTGAACTCAGTATAAGTATTGAAGAAATCTGCAGTGGAAGGAGGTGCTGTGCTGAAGCTGTGACTTTGGATCTCTCTTGTGCTCATAGAATCTGGGCCTGAGGAGGTTGGGGTGTGCATCTACTCACTCCAGATGGAAGCAAGTGGCTCCCTCCACTGTTATCTGCAAGATTTGGATTTGTTTGGTTTATCTGGGATGTGAAACTTGAGAATTAAAGAGAGATTTTTTTTTTCCCTGCTTTTTTCCCCCCCTGAATAAAAGGAAACAGAATTACAGGCCTTCAACAGCATCAACCTCATGTTTGTATCTCTAAAAGTCTTTATTAAATCCTCACTGGCAGTTTTACCCCAATTTGTTCATCATATAGTGGACATCCTATAAAGCCTACATCCTAGCTAAAATATTTCCCTCTGGCATCTTCTGTGGGTAAAAATAATTCAGACTGTACGAAAATCTTGGCTGTGTTGCAGTCTCTTGCATCCTGGATTATTTTTAGACTCAAGTTCTTTGGTTTGTTTTTCTAGGATCCCCATGCTGAAGAGTTTGAAGACAAGGAATGGATGTTTGTCATAGAGAATGTAAGCTGGAATGTTTTCTATATATACTGTTTTTCTATACATACAAGACTTAATAATTAAAAAAGATTAAAAGGTGTCCAGATGCTGAAAAAATCTTGAATAAAATTTGAGCAGCTGAACCACTGTAAATCCTAGCTCTGTAGTAATGAAGGCTTATTAAAATACCTATTGTTACATTACAATTAAAATACAGGAGAGGGGAGTGCTGAATTTTTTCCCTGCAAGCATCAGTCTGCCTTGCATTAGTTTGCTGTGAGCAGTGGAGTGAACAAGTTCGAGCTGGGTCATGACTCACTGTTTTATGGGCTGTGACACATTATTTGTGTATGAGCAGGGCGGTGAACAAGTCAGAGCTGGGTTATGACATCTGTATGTCCCAAATGGCAACTCTGGGCTGGAGTGCCACTCTCTAGGGGAGAGCAGGGGCTCGTTGCTCGCCTTTGATGGGTGAGTAATTTGGGGCAGGATGGAGCAGCCGTGGTCACGCAGCGGGGAGTGCGAGTTGTGAGCTGCTCCCTGGGATCCCTCTGCATGTCCTGTGCAGAGTGAAAACCCAGAAGCTGCTCCTGCGAGTCTCTGACTCCTCCAAGCCAGCAGCTCCCAGAGCTTGACGGAGAGCTGAGTTCCTGAGGGCTGTGCAAACAAGAGGTTTGGCCAAACTGCAGTGCCTGACATTGCAGAGAGCAAGTGTTTCATGAAGTACTTTTTTCCTTTCCCTTTTCTGTGCTGGGCCACAGCTTCCGCTCTGGGGTTGAAAAAAGGGGAAGCTGCTGGGGTTTTCTTGAAAAAGGAACTTTGTCTTCAAATAGATTTTAAAAGTTTGTGGTAGCAAGGTAGTGTTCATTGCTCATAAATATAGTTTCATTATGAGCTGTTTCTCAGGAAGATGATTTAATTTTTATGTTGTTTTTAAATAAAAAATAAATTGCTCTTCTACCAAGTACTACCACATAGCACTAAAGTGTTGGGAAGCAATGGATTTTGCCTATCTTTTTTTACCTAAAAATGCTTCTTTTTCTTGTCAATATTGGAAAATTATTTGAATGTCTAAAGCTAAGGTTTATTCTTATCACCAGTAACTGAACATTTAAAAAGGCTGAAAGCAAAGTGCTTTATTTATACTTTGGTTCTAAATGTCAAGTTTCTATTTTCACATGAGACACTTGTTAACACAAAACACAGTTTAGTTACTGAGTTACTGTTTCCTGGAGTTTCCTTTTCTTTCTCACGTAGTTTATTTTAATCAGGGAAGTCTCCATCCTCAATTGTCACCATACAAGTAGCTCTGGATAAAACAATTGTCAGTGTATTTCTCAGCCAGCCCCTCTGGGTGTAGCTGGATTTCCTGTGACGTTGCAGATGATATTTTTCAGGATTTTATATGGGGCATGTAGACTGAGTTTGTGTCCTGCTTTCTTTACACATCAGTGTATTCCATGGAGAGGTGGCTGCAGACCATCTGCTGCCTGCTCTCTGCCTCACACCTTTGCTGAGCCGTGCAGGGCAATCCTCTGTTACATGGGAACTTCTTTACAACCTCAGCTGTGCTGTTAGTTCATCTCACAAGAACTGCCAAATAGTCACTGGCAGGTAGATGTTTATTCTTTCATTGGAGGATATAGAAATAGTATCCTCAGAATAATAAATTTAATAGTTTTATTGCAAAAATGACTGAGAGATAAAGAAACTAAAAAGCTGGCTGCTTTTTTTTTTTTTTATGCCGGAATAGAGGGAGAAACTCTTTTCCCAGGGTAACAGCTCCACTTAGTGGTGGATGAAAACATGTTCATCGGTTCGAGCAAGAGGCAAATGTTCCAATGGCTGGCTGACATTCCAGAGCATGCAACACCTGCCTGTTAGAAACAGGGGAGGCAGGAGGTTGTTCTCCTCACTCCTTAAATTATAGGCATTTACCCTCTTTGGGCCTAAAGTGTCATTTGCCTGGTTTTACAACAATATATGTGTTATTTACCTGACAAGACCAGGTGACCTTTGGGAAGCACGGGGACATTCAGAGTCCTTTGGGACCTTTTCTGTTTTGTCCAAGGATGTTTTCTGCCCTGAAAAGCTGCAGGGCTTCCTTTCCTCTTTGATCAGCAATACTCAGAACACAAAATACTGAAGTCTGAAGAGCTTAGGGCTGTGCTTTAGTTGTAAAGCTATGTAAATTCTGCTAAAATTTTTGAGTTTGTTTCTTTTTTTTAATTAGTATTAAAGTCAGTCTCCAAAATAATTTTGTTTTGCTTCAGTATGGCTGAGCAAAGAGCAGGTAGAAGAGATACACAACTGCAGTTTGATACTTTTGCAGGCAGATGCTACCAAATTCCAAACAAGCTTATTCTTCACTTTCAGAGGGATTTTTAAGTAGTGATGAGGTGATTTGTGCAAGAAAGCAAGAAAGCCACGCTTTAAATGAAATTTTTTTTTTTTTGTGGTTATTTTCTTCTTTGGGGTATATGTACAGTATTTCATGATCCATTACCCTGATTATTGTAGGGTTTTTTTTCTATCTGTATTTTTATTGTCCTAGTCACTCTGCATTTGTGTTCTAGTATATGAACTTTGTCATCTACTGTATGTATGATCCATAAATAGTTTGATCGTAGAGCAGTTTCTTACCATTTAAATCCTGGTATTCATTTTCCATCAGCCTTTCTATGTCTTTATCTCCTTCACAGCTGTGTTCTGTGTATATTTACTGATAACTTTCTTGTCTCTAATTCCATCTCTCTTTAACCATGTTCTGTGTATTTGATTATCTGCTTTTACTTCATGAGGCAGTTCTTGGAATTCTTTTGCTGTTTTTAATAACATTGGGTGTTCAGGTTGGCTCTTGCAAGCAGGAGAGCAAGAAATTAATAACTCAGAATAAGACTTGCCCATGTGTAGAGTGGTAATAGGCTTTCAAAATCTTACAGACTGGTGTTAGTGTATTTTGACTATTCCATTTAAAGAACAAGGATGAGTTGCCCCCCATTTTCTAAGCCACTTCTTTTAGTAAGTGACTTTTCTCTTTCATTTCTTCTGTGGGTAACTTGAATATATTCTGTTTAGACACTTGGGTCCTTTCACTGTCTGTGTCCCCTCAGAGGTCCCAGGTGGGAGGGCAGCTTTGAAACAAAGACTTAACTCCTGAGAAGAGTTCAGCTGACCTGAAGTTTTGGGCTGTGTTTCTTGCTGTCTTCAGGTTGTTTATCTAATGGAATGAGAAAGGGATAGGAGGGAAGAGAGGAGGTTTAAATTGGTCCAAAGATGTGGAAGCTTTCACTGGTTCTATGCACAAGAACTTTGTGCCAAATAAAGGTATCTGAAGCAATGGAAAAATGTCATTTTGCTTCCTAGCATGCTCAAAGCATGGAAAAGTATTTAAGAACATCCACTGAATACAAACCATAATGTTTACTTGTTTGCTGGCAGTTTTATAGACAGTTGCTTCCTACATTCTTAATGAAACTGTGAAAGTCATGGAATGTTTTCCGACTTGAAAATGCACAGACTGTGAAACAAGTTTCCCAGCTTTTTGTCAAAAATATTTTTGAGTTCATGTTTCTGTCTCTAATAGCATAGTAATATATTCCAAAGTTAATAGTAGGCTTCTCTATCTTCCCACCTGTGCTTATGTTTCACCGTTGTCCATAGGTCTTTCCCAGGGCTCAGGGCTATGGTGAGCAAGCCCCTTCCAGTAGGAAATTCCACTGACAATAATTGCTGTTATTCCTGACACAAACTGTAGCCCTCTTTTTATGTGGCAGGCCTATTAAAACTTGGTCTTTGCTAATTCCAGACCTACAGCCTTGGCAGATGAATGGAGAAAAATGCTCTGCCTGTTGTTGAATCTTTGCTCATAGATTCCTGTGAGCTGGAGCTGGAGCCAGCTGTCTTGTACTGTTGCCACAAGGCAGCATAATTCCAGACAAACACTTGCCTAAACAGTTTAAAAAAAAAAATAAAAAAATTAAAAAATTAAGGTGGGCTCTCTGCAGCACTGCCAGTCAGCCTCTTCCAGTGCTCCATTGTCCTTGTTGTGGGGAATCATTCTGGCCCAGATCTTGGTTGATACTCTTGAGGCTGCTCATTTTCTTAGCAGTTACAACTCTGGAGAACAGTCTTTGCTCCGTGTGGCTGGAGGCTTCCTCCTTCTTGCCTCTGACTAATCGACCCCAATAATGTGATAGTGTTTGCATGTGGGATTTCACTTCCCATGATTGCATTAGCAGGTCATTAGCATTCTCTCTCCACGGATTTATTTATGTGGGTGAGAGCTCAGTGTCCTGCTCTGCTCCTGCTGCCCATGGCTTTCAGGAAACAGCTGTGCCCAGCTCTGCTTGCACTCTGTCACCTGCCTGGGGAAGCATTCCAGGCAGAATTTCCAGGCTGTTCTTGTACTGAGACATTGGAAACTGGACTGACTTCTGCATCTGTCCTTTCTAGAGAGTCCTTGAAAAAGCTTCGATGTCTTTTTAGACAATATTTTCTAATAATGCCCGTTTGAATAGACCCACTCAAACTTCTGGAATGAGAGAAAAAAGGAGTCTATAGAGTTTGCTGTTCAAGCTGGCCTTCAGGGAAGAGTTACAAAGAATAACAAGTTTAGGCTGAAAATACAAGATCTGACTTTTCCTTCTGTCTGTTGTTCTTGTGTAGTTTCAGGAGCCTCAGCCTAGAAAGAGTTCTGAATTGACCTCCACTGAAATATCAGCAAAGCCTCAAAATAAAAGAACCATTACAATATGTTACAGAACAATTGACATAAACCAGCTTTGTTTTATTGGTACATGTGTGTTCTTTTGTGGTTGTCATCCCCCAGTCCACCTTTCCCCCTGTCACCTCTGAAATCCTGAATCATGGTTATGATGATTTCTCATTTTGAGTGCCCTGGAGCATGTTTTATCCCTCAAAGGTTTGGGGAGATTATTTCTCTCTCTTAAAATGCCTGGCATAGCACCACAAATGGTGATCATAACATCACAAAGGTGACAAATAAGGTGAAAGTAATGGGA